ATAGTGCATAGCATAGATATTGTTCAACACAAACCGGATTAAATATACGACGACTGAGGGCTGAAAGTTGGATGAATCGTATCGAAATTAGTTTTTTTTTGAAGTTAATCAATTTTTTTTCACATGTACTAAATCAATTTCGATTCCAATTTCAACATTTTTGGAATATGAAAATACAAAGAATGAAAGTATTTGACATGAACCATCATAAGGTACAAATATAATTAAATATTTAATTTATTTTGCATTAAGTAAAATAAGTCATATATAATATGTATTATTTTTAGTGTATATTTCGGAAAAAAATCGGAATTAATTTCAGAAATTAAATCGGATAGGAAATCGAAAGTTTCAATTTCTTTTTTTTATATAAATTCAATTTCAATAAAAAATCATCGATTTTTTTCGAAAATCAGGATGAAACTTCCAAAATCGAAACTTTTCGGATCAGAATCGACGAAAATTATAATTTTCGTTCCAACTTTAGCACAAATGACCTATTAATTTACACATATTAATATATTCATACTTTGCCTTATGATTATATTATCACAAAATTCACATTATTTATTTATAAAAATAAATTAACTGAATTTGATGTGATTTTCTTGCAATTTTTTTTTTTGACCATCTAAAAAACGTTGGCAGCCAAAGTTGGTTGGTGAGGCGAACACAGTACTGTACCACCCTTCACACTCATCAACCTAACCCTTTTTCCACCATTATTATCGATCTCCCTGATTCGCAAATCCTTCTCAGAAATTCAATCAATATTTCATTTTTTCAATTCAATTCTGAATTTCGGAAACCCCTAAATTATTGGAAGAAATGGCGCAGGCTACCAACATGGCGCACAAACTCTCGCCCAAATTCCCAACCCCTATTGCTAAATCTTCCCCTTCAACTTCTTGTTCTTTGTTTTTCGGATCCAAAAATCTGAAGAATTCGACAAAAACATCGTGGGTTTTGAATAAAAGTTCAATCTTTACGGTAAAAAAGACGACCCAGTTGAAGGTTTCGGCCGCCGTCGCCACGGCGGAAAAGCCGTCGACTGTGCCGGAAATTGTGCTGCAACCCATCAAAGAAATCTCCGGCACCGTTAAGTTGCCGGGATCTAAATCACTCTCCAACCGAATTTTACTTCTTGCTGCTCTGTCTGAGGTAATCTTTGATTGATAATTATGAGTTATTTTGTGTGTGTTTTAATGGTGTCTGACTGTGTGTATTGTGATCAGCTACTGTATTTGAAATTGAGCATAATGTGGATCACTTCTTATCGATTAAGTCGCGAATACCCGGTCGGTCTTTGTTAGATATGTTCGATTGTTGATGCAGTTTTAAGATACTAAAAAAATGGTGTAAGCGAAAAAGAAATTCGTTTAGTTTTTACGAGATCTAGAAATATCCAGTCGGTATAAGTTCCCGAACTCGAAATGCCTCTCAATTTTATAGCTATGTATATATAATTGATGTTGTTGGATTTTCGAATGTGGATATGTCGTAATTTTGAGGTGGGATTCGCTTATTGATCGTGCTTATAGGTCTTCGCCTTTTGTGGTGGTGGTTTTATTATTGCAAATGTGTTTATATGTTTGTGCGTTGTGCATGTTCGTTTTAATGCTGAAGTTAATATAACTCAGTAAAAGGGCTTTACGATTCGTATTCGATCGAAGAGCTAAAGGACTTCTTAATGTAATGCAGTTAGTCTATCAAGTTGACCACGTTACCTAGGCCCTTTATCGTTGCTTCATTCTAGGTCAAATTCATCTGTTTAATTTAAGTTTTGATGAATCTTGGATGTGATTGACTGTTAGGTCTTTGGTCATTTTTTTTTTATTTATCCGATTATATTCGTGCAGTACTTACCATGTATCTGTGCACTTGTCTTTTCAGGGAACAACCGTTGTGGACAACTTACTAAGCAGTGACGACATTCATTACATGCTCGGTGCATTGAGAACACTTGGTCTGCATGTCGAAGAAGACAAAGATAAACAACGAGCTGTTGTCGGCGGCTGTGGTGGTCTATTCCCGGTTTCTAAAGAAGAATCCACCGAAGAAATTCAACTCTTTTTAGGAAATGCAGGTACGGCAATGCGCCCTTTGACCGCTGCAGTTGTTGCTGCCGGCGGAAACTCAAGGTAACCCCGTTTGACTTTTCTACGATCATATTATCTTTTTGTATTATATAATTCAAGAATGCATTACTTTTCTAATTCTTGATGGAATTAATATTTTATTGTTTTTTATGGGTTTTAGATATGTACTTGACGGGGTTCCTCGTATGAGAGAGAGACCGATTGGAGATTTAGTAACTGGGCTTAAGCAGCTTGGAGCTGACGTGGATTGTTACTTGGGGACGAATTGCCCACCTGTTCGTGTTGTTGGAAACGGGGGTCTACCTGGAGGAAAGGTGGGGTCTTGTTTTTCATTTGAAATTTAATTCGGCTATGATGTTTATGTATTTCTGTACATTACCATGTTATGTTTCACACAACTGATTAAATTTCGTGATATTTTGGGTTCTTGTTTTTTGAGAAAGAAGAAAAGAAAGATAAGTAAACCAATTGGCATAGACACGATGCAGAGCCAGCTGAAATTTTTAGTAAAATTATTCAATCTAATTTGTGGTCGAAATATTTCTGTCTTTCTCGTTGCCTTTCCAAGATCGGAGAATTTTGCCATATTCTTATGTAGCATGAAGTATAGCTTTCCTAGCTGGTTGTAAGAGAAGAAAAAAAAACTCTTTACATGAGAATTTGAATATTATTAGTGAAAGCTAAAATTAAAAATCTCGAGTTTTCTGCATCTTTCCATCATCCTAATGTACCAGTTAAGCAGTTTTTCATTATTTTTTTCGTGATTTGAACAGCTAAAGATGTATGAATATTTGAACTTTCTTGGTGCAGCAAGACTCAATTCGTATATAATTGTTCGTAAAAAGTTGAATTACTAATCTACGATGTATTTTTTCTCTCGTGCCTTAAACTTATTTTGCAGGTAAAACTCTCTGGATCAGTTAGCAGCCAATACTTGACAGCTCTGCTAATGGCAGCGCCACTTGCTGTAGGAGATGTCGAAATCGAAATAATCGACAAACTAATTTCAGTTCCTTATGTCGAAATGACACTTAAGTTAATGGAACGCTTCGGTGTCTCTGTCGAACACAGTGACAGCTGGGACAGATTCTTGATTCGTGGAGGTCAAAAGTACAAGTAAGTCTCTTCACAATAATCTTTTCGACCACCTTTAATTAAAAAAAAATAAAATTAAATAATATTAATTTAATTAGGTCCCCTGGAAATGCTTATGTGGAAGGGGATGCATCGAGCGCGAGTTACTTCTTGGCCGGTGCGGCAGTTACTGGCGGAACTGTTACTGTTGAAGGATGTGGGACCAGCAGTTTACAGGTACTTTCTAGAAGTTTCCGGAACTACTATAGTGTGTACGGAATGTTCTTATAATTTGCTCGTCTTTTTTTTCTTCTGTTTATTATGAAGGGTGATGTTAAATTCGCCGAGGTTCTCGAGAAAATGGGATGCGAAGTGACGTGGACGGAGAATAGTGTCACGGTTAAAGGACCTCCACGAGATGCTTCCGGAAGGAAACACTTGCGAGCTGTCGATGTCAACATGAACAAGATGCCAGATGTCGCCATGACACTCGCTGTCGTTGCCCTTTTCGCTGATGGGCCCACTGCTATTCGAGATGGTAATGCTTTTATTACATAATATTAATCTTTTTTTCTTTACAAAATATAACCCTAACAATTCTCTAGGAGCGAATGTAAAACTAGAGGTTTCCTTTTTAAGCCGTGGGGGCGATGGCCCCCATATTAGCCCATAGCCATATTCTTTTCTATATTCAAATAAATAGACTCGTTGTTTAAAGCTTCAATTGTAGTAAGTTCGTTTATACTCTTTTCTCGCAGTGGCTAGCTGGAGAGTTACAGAAACCGAACGGATGATTGCTATATGCACGGAACTTAGAAAGGTTCGTCCTTGATTTTATACGAATTTCTATGCATTTTGAGGCATTTTTACTTTAATATCCGTTTTATAATTTAATCCTTTTAACAGTTGGG